GCATTTAATGAGAAAACACGTGTGAAAAATGCATGAGTAAGATGCAGTGGCTGTTTGTGACCAGCCCCATCCCTGCCATCACCTATAGACGTGAGAGAGCAGCTTTCTAGACTCTTCCAGAGCAGGTGAGAAGAAAGTGGTGTGTGCAGCCAGGCTTTTGTCTTCTCATCCCCTTGTCTGAATCAGGCCCTGGGAGCAGGGTCTTCCGTGACGTGGTCCTGAACTGTGGAAGACCTGGGGGTGGGGCTCTGGATGGTGGAGGAGTTGTGTTTGTGTTGCCAGCCTGGTCCTAGCCAGAGTCGGGGGGTCTTCTGCTGAGCCCTGACACAGGCACTTTGCTCTCTCGGGCAAGAGGACGAACAGTGCACCATGCCGTTCTGATGTTCTGGGTTCCTCGTGCCCTCTCTTTGGGAAAACGTAGAAGACACGGGACGGGTTCCTCTCTCCAGAACACTGGGTGATTTATTCCCACAGGGACAGGAGGACAGAACATTCCTTTGGGACTGAATAGGACAAAGGCCTGTGTTTGTGAGTGTTGTCATTCTCCCATTCAATCTCAGACAGTCTTCCTGGCTAGCTCAAAACCACGTGCGTGCACGTGTGTTTGTTGGTGGGTGTGTTTGTTGGGGATGTGTGAGTATGTGTGTGAGACTTAGGGGATGGGACTTGGACGCAGGGAAGATCACAACACTTGCTTTTCCCCCTCCTCCTCCTGGGTGTGCTGGGGGGCCAGAAACTGAGGGGAGGACTGATGAGGGCCAGCAGACCCTGGCACAGAGGAGCAAGGGCCCAGCGGATGAGAGATCAGATCCCGGGTCTACCACTATAAGCCCATGACCTTGGGAGAGTCACTTCAGCTTCTTTACCTGTAAAATGGGATTGATGGGCTTCCCTGTGGCGTGGTCTGATACCCTGCCTTACTCTTCATAGGTGCTTAGCAAATGTTCTCCCTCACCACTGTCACCTGTGCCTGGGAGGCAGCCCCGCACCCACATGACCTTCCCTACTTCCACTTTCCCAGAAGGGGTCTTTGTCCTTCCCACCAAGGCTACCAATGTCGAAACCTGCTTTTTCTGAGTCCTGCTCAGGCTGAGATTTGGGGCGATGTTGAGGCAGCAGCCAGGGTCCTGACAGTCCTGTAGTTCCTCATGAGTTGGGGTGAAGCGTTAGTGCTCTGTGAGGCTCTCACCAACCCCAGGGGTCTTACTGGGAGGGAGCTGAGCATCTCATGGCCAATCCAGGAGCAGAGTGGGGATGATCCCAATGTTGATCCATGCCCTTAGGAGAGAAAGTTTCTTCCTAGGGTGTGATGCTCACCATTATCTGCCTGGATCAGATCTCTTATCCAGCAGATACTGGCTGCCCACCAGGAGCAGGCAGCTGTGCAGGGGCCTGTGAACAGAAGAGCGAAGGAGACCCACACAGCCTTTCCTCCTTGGATGGAGGGAGGGACCCTTCAGTTTAGTGCTAACAGTGTCGAAACCTGCTTCTTCTGTGTCCTGCTCAGGCTGAGATTTGGGGCGGTGTTGAGGCAGTAGCCAGGGTCCTGACACCCCTGTAGGTGTGAGTTAGGGTGAAGCGTCAGTGCTCTGTGAGGCTCTCACCAACCCCAGGGGTCTTATTGGGAGGGCTGCAATTTTAAGACCTTCAAAGAGATGAGTCAAAAACCTGTTACCCACCCACAACCCCGGGGGCTTCCAGGGACATTCTTGATGCCAGCTGCGGTGGCGTGTCCCATACCTGCTGCCTCATTAACACCCTATGGTACGTACAGCGGGAGTCCCCTTCCTACCTGGTGCTGTGGTCTGGGCTCTGGCAGGTGAATCCTCTCTTGCTATGGAGCCTGGGTTGCAGGTGGCCCTCCTGTCTCAGGGGTGAGGACATAGAGGCTCAGAGGTTGGGGAACAGATTTGCAGTCTGACATCTGTGGCGGTAGGGACACTGCCTACCCTGGCCTGTCTTTAGAGGGACCCATGTGGGCCAGCTGGGGAGACAATGAAGAATGTGCCCCCACAGACAAATGAGCCTTTGTTCCCACAGTGGCTTCAGGGCCAGGCTGGGCCCAGCAGATGATCTCTGGCCCCCGCTGGAAGCCAGGCCACTGCTCCCTCATCTATGGATTTTTCCAGTGCCTGTTATGGGCAGGAAAGAAGTGTTGGGCCCTGAGGGGCAGAGAAGGCAGAAGGGAGATGGGCGGAGCTCTGTGAACCAGGGGACTTACCTTGTTGGGGGCTAATGCAGGTGCCAGGACGACTCCCTGCTGGGCAGGCCTGGATGCTCCCAGGAAGCTGGGTCTGTCTCTGCTGTGCCTCTCTATATGTCACCATCCTCACCTGGTAACCTGCATCCCTGTGCTGTTCAGGAACAGGGAACTTCTGGGTGACCTCGAGGAGGGTGGACACCCAGGGCAGGCGAGTGGAAGTGACAGTTGAGAGAGACTCACGACCACCTTCTGCAGGAGTTTAGATGAACATGGCAGGTGAGAGACTGGTCCATGAGTGAGCTGGGGTGCTTGTCTCCTTTCTGCAGAAGCACCATGGTGGCCTGGGGCTGGCTGGCTTCAGGGTTCTCCAAGTGAGGGTCAGAAACCCCTGCACTCTGCCAGTGGGGAGGGGGAGGTGGTGAGTTCTTGTTGGAAACACAGTGTAGAGTTTTCATATGCTGCGGGGGAGCCTGGTATTGGATGCCATTTTTCTTTGTTTTTGAACTTGTTCTTCAGTTTGAGAATCATTCGTCTTATGGGATGTAGGAGGTTTTCCTGGTCCCATTCCCAACAACCCCCCAGTGGGTTAAATCCTCTTTCTCCTTTTTTCTCGGAGGACCCAGAGGACCCACAGCTCCCGGGGCCATCTCCCCTGCCCCTGCTGGCTTGTGAGTTCTCATCCACTCATCCCTGCGGGATGAAGGGGACCTGGCATGCAATAGGTGTCTAGTGAATGTTTCTTGGATGAAATCAAACTGCCTTAAGTATCAGGAGTAAAGAAGTAGCAGAGGTAGAGTCCGATCACCGGCTGGTGTGGACAGCGTGGGGGTGGCTGCCTCCTACCACCTCACCGGGGTCACTCTCAGACTGAGCTGCCCGCATTCTGTGTCTTCAGCACCCAGGAGATAGGCAGAGCCAGACTGTTCCTGTTTTCAAGATTCAAGCTGGGGAGGGAGTGACCTGCTCCCACAGGGCGCCTGAGTGAGGGTCTGTCCCATCCCCTCTTCTCAAGCATGAGTTTGTGAACGCTGACCCTCCTCTCTGCCGCCACATGGCAGTGACCTCTGTTGGTCACATTTCTGGCGGCTTCTGGAAGCAGGTTCAACAGCATCCAGAGTGCTCTGTATTCCACTTCAACGCCTCATTTACTCTTTGGAAAATCAGTGCAGCGTGCTGAGATGAGGGGGCCTCATGGGGCCTGAGTGTGCGCCGCTCGAGGGTGGGTGAAGTGTGAGGCGCCTGGGGCCTTGCAGAGGCTGACTGTCTGGGGGACCCACCTCTGCACTGCCTGCCCCTATGACTCGGGGTCACCAACGTCACTTCCTCAGCCACTGGGTCACGTGACCCTGGCAGGGCTCTTGTGAAGGTGAGGACATGGAGGGACATGGCTCAGCACTGCCCTGGCACTTGGAAGGCGTCTGCAGCCTGTCCTCAGCAGGCTGATGGCCCTACTTCCCTGCTCTCCAACTGCCCTGTGGGAGCAAAGCCCAGAGTGGGGCATTTCAAAGGGGAGGGCACTGCTCTCAGACATGGAAATCGCTCAAGGGAGATGAGTTACTGGGGTCCTCAGGGACTTCTGGGTGGCCTTGAGAAGGGCAGAAGCCTGGGGCAGGCATGAGGGGAAGGGTGAGTGGAAGTGACAATTGAGAAAGACTCCAACTACCCCCTGCAGGAGTTTAGGTGAACGGGGCAGGTGAGAGATTGATCCGTGAATGATCTGGGGTGCTTGGGACCAAGGCAGGATGCCTTTTTTTTTTTTTTTTTTTTTCCCAGAGGAAGAAAGAAGAGCAGCTCTTCAGCTGTTAGGAAGGTTTGGTGCGGAGAGGTGTGGGGATGACGGGGGGGGGGGGCCGGCTGGGGGTCCATGGCCGAGCTGGAGAGTTGGCCTTGACCAGAAGAACCACCAGGACCTACAAGAAGGAAGGGCAGGAGAGAGGATGGGCATGATATCATTCAGCATTCTTTGGGTCAGCTGGACATGGCTTACATGTGATTGGAAGTTGGTGGCTTACGTAACCGAAAATCCCGGATGGTGGGTGCCATCCCCAAATCCCCTTTCTCTCTTTGCCGTCCCTGGGCTGCCAAACTTTCAGGCAGGCCATTGCCTCGTGGTGACAGCGTGGCTGCTGCAGATGCAACCTTGCTAGACCAAGTTCAATCCAGTTCCCCAGTTACTAGAAATAAGTGCAGTTGGCTTTAGTTGGCCTGAGCCAGCCCACCTGTTCCATCCTGATCCAATACTGGCAACCGGGAGGTGGAATGCATGAATTGGCCTGGGCTTGTGAAACGTGGGGCAGGGATCAGTGTCAACAGAACCCCCACGATTGAGGGCAAGGGTTGGGTGGGTTTCTGAAGGAAATTGGGGGCTGTTCTTGGAAGTAGAGTGTGAATTCTGGGTAGCCCTAAGCTACCAGGTGTTAGTCACAGGTACAGTAACCTGTGGGGCCAGTGGGGCCTGGGGGCAGGAAAGCGCAGGCTTGCTGGCCTGTTTTCTGGATGGAGTAAACACAGTCTGGTGCAGAGATGGCCACAGGCTGGCCCTTTGCCCGGCATTTTGTGCAGTTAACAGCACAGTCTGAGCCAGGCCTCCGTCTCCTGCCTCCAGGGAGTCCCGTCCTTGCCCTGGTTCTGGGATTGGCTTCCAGCCAGATAGAGGTGCTGCCCGAAGCCAGGGCTCTTACAGTCGATTGAGAAGTGAGCTTCCTGAAAACACAGTTGGAAAGAGACTGGGTGTCTTCAGCCACACAGACGCCGTGAACCCCACATGACCAGCCCACTGTCTGCTGTCTCTCCTCAGGAGCAGGACATCGAGACTTTACATGGCTCCGTTCACGTCACGCTGTGTGGGACTCCCAAGGGAAACCGGCCTGTCATCCTCACCTACCATGACATCGGCATGAACCGTAAGTTCTGAGGATCCCAGGTTCCCTGTCAGCCAGTTGCCGAGAGGGTGGTGGAAGAAGGCAGCTGAGAAGGGCAGTGGCCGGGAACGGGTGGTTTCCTTTCTGCCTGGGACTTCCTGGAGCTATTCTGGGAAGAACTCTTGCCACAGCCTGGAAAAGCCAGAAATGCACTGCATGTGGGCATGGAGTTGTCTGTGTACCCAGAGGTGCTGGGAGCACTGGGGCACTTTGCTATCTGTGACGGCGACTTCTTCAGTCATGCATGCATATGGTTTTTAGTCTTTCCACAGAATTGTGCAACCATCAGCACAATTTTGGAACATTTTCTTCCTTCTAAAAAATCCTGTATCTTTTATTGGTCACCCCACCCCCAGATGACTGACCCTTCATCGACTTTCCTTTTCTGTGAATTTGCCTATTCTGGAATGTTGTATACATGGAATCAAATAATATGTGAATTTTTCTAACTGGCTTCTTTCATAATGCTTTCAAGGTTTTTTTCCAGGTCATGTATTAGTATTGTATTTCCTTTGTTGAATAATAATATTCCATGTATGCACTTACCACACTTCATCTATTCTTTTCTTTTCTTTTTTTTTTTTTTTTTTTTTTTTTTTGAGACATATTCTCACTCTGTCACCCAGGTTGGAGTGTGGTGGTACGATCTTGGCTCACTGCAATCTCCACCTCCCGGGTTCAAGCAATTCTCCTGCTTTAGACTCCCAAGTAGCTGGGATTACAGGCACCCACCACCACACCTGGCTAATTTTTATATTTTTAATAGAGATGGGATTTCACCACATTGCCCAAGCTGGCCTTGAACTCCTGACCTCCGGTGATCCACCCACCTCAGCCTCCCAAAGTGCTGGGATTACAGGCATGAGCCACTGTGCCTGGCCATCTATTCTTTGGTTGATAGGCATTTGGGGCATTTTTACTTTCTAGCTGAGTGAATAACACTGCCATGTTTAGACACAGGGTCACTACTCCAGATGGGAGGTTATAGTGGACCCAGAAGGAAAGAAAGGATGAGGGGGGCAAACCCATCTCATGCCAGGGCCATCCTGACCCTGACTGACTGGAGGAGCTGCAGGGGCCAGCCTGGGAACCCCTTCCAGCACCAACTACAAGATTCACCTGCCAGATACCACTCCCTGGCCCATGACTTAGTCTTGCCTTTTGTCACCAGGAAAGTGGGCATAGGTACAAAACCAAAAAGCGAAAAACATAAACATCTGTATTCTTCAAAGTTCACTTCCTTCTTCTGAATAGGAGTGAAGCAAAATGAATGTGCTTTGCCACCGAGACACCTAATTTTTCTCCTCTTACTATTTTCTCATCCCTCCCCCCGCTCTGCTGTTCTTCAGACAAAACCTGCTACAACCCCCTCTTCAACTACGAGGACATGCAGGAGATCACCCAGCACTTTGCCGTCTGCCACGTGGATGCCCCCGGCCAGCAGGACGGCGCAGCCTCCTTCCCCGCAGGGTGAGAGCCTCTTGCCCTGTGAGCCCTGCAGGGTGGAGACTGGGTGTCGGGGAGGGGTTCAGCTGGCTTGTTCTTTTAAATACTTTTTAATTGTGGTAAAACATAAAAGTTACTGTCTTAACCACTTACTAAACTGTGGTAAAAGATACATAATATAAAAGTTAGCATTTTAACCATTTTTAAGTATATAGTTCAGCGGCATTGAGGACATTCAGATGTTGTGCAGTCGTCACCACCTTCCATCTCCAGGACAGTCTCATCTTCCCAAACTGAAACAACATACCCATTAGATGCTACTTCCCCACCCCCCGTCTTTCCTCCAAGGCTGGCTTTACCATAGGTGTGCCCAACCTATGAAGGGGAGGAGGACTTGACATAACCCAATAGTGTGATGAAAAACCAAGGAGGTTGGGAAGAAAAAGAGGGCGAGAAGGAGCGTTGTTGGAGCACTTCCTGTGGGCTAGGCACGATCATTCTGATCTAACATTGCCATTTTGGCTTACTCCTTACGGCTAGCTCTGTGTGGCTGGTGTTAGCTCCATTTTCCAGATGAAAATATCAAGGCATGGAGGTGTTAACTACCTTTCTCAAGATTGCACAGCTGAGGCCGGGCGTGGTGGCTCACGCCAGTAATCCCAGCACTTTGGGAGACTGAGGTGGGTGGATCACCTGAGGTCAGTAGTTCGAGACCAGCCTGGCCAACATGGTGAAACCCTGTCTCCACTAAAAATACACAAATTAGCTAGGTGTGGTGGTGGATGCCTGTAATCCCCACTACTCAGGAGGCTGAGGCCAGAGAATCCCTTGAACCTGGGAGGCGGAGGTTGCAGTGAGCTGAGATCACACCACTGCACTCCAGCCTGGGTGACAGAGCAAGACTCCATCTCCAAAAAAGGAAAAAAAGGTTGCACAGCCAAGACCTGAGGCGTTGGCTTTGGCCCTGTCTACCGGCTCTAAGACACGTATCCTGTTTGGAAATCAGGCTGCCTTAGTTGAGAGTGTTTACACTGCCTGGCCCTTGTCCGCTCATGATCTGCATGGGTATGGCCTTTCAGTTTCCCCTTGTGCAACTATGCTCGAGCTCACTGGACTCCCCAGTCAGCATTACGTGGGGGAGGCAGACCTCAGAGATACCTCCTTGTCCCTGCTCCTGATGCTGTGATTAAACTAGGGCAGGAGTAGCTTCTTGGGTTTAAAGTCTACCAGGAGGGGCCTTCTTGGCATTTACTAGTAGATATCCTTTTTAATCAGTGTTCAGAATTATCCTTAATAATTAACCTTTATCAGAGAGGAAGGGAAGGGACAGCTAACCATATGGGACCAGGACCAAAAATTTAAAAGTGTATTAAAACAGTGGGACATGGTTAATTGTTAACCAGCAGATAAAGCCAGAGGTATGTCAGTAGATCTATCTTTGGTTGGACCAATTGTGTGAAAGGCTTGGGGAAGCAGAGACTCTTAGCTCCCCCTGGAGAAGGTTTACAAATATTCTTAGGTCTGAGCCCCACTGGTGCCCAGGAATTTTTATTCTTGGTCTGGAGGCTGAGGGGTACAGGGTATTTTCTCCCTGGTTTACTAGGTCTTTCTCTCCTTTTTTTTGTTTTTGAGACAGAGTTTTACTCTTGTTGCCCAGGCTGGAGTGCAATGGCACGATCTCAGCTCTCTGCAGTCTCTGCCTCCTGGCTTCAAGTGATTCTCCTGCCTCAGCCTCCCAATTAACTGGGATTGCAGGCATGTGCCAAAACGCCTGGCCAGTTTTTTGGTATTTTTAGTAGAGACGGGATTTTACCATGTTGGCCAGGCTGGTTTTGAACTCCTGACCTCAGGTGATCCACCTGCCTTGGCCTCCATGTGCTGGGATTACAGGCATGAGCCACCACACTGGACCTTAGTAGGTGTTTTTCATGTGTATCTGATGGGATCCACTGTCAGAGTGGGGCTGGCTTGTTTCTTACTCCTGGAGTGGGGCAGAGGAGAGTGTGGGGCTTGGCAGGGGTGTGGTGGCGTCTCCCAGGCCCTCTAAGGGTGATCTCTCCCGTATTCTGAAGCTGAGACAACAGAGCAGGGTTGAGGATGCCTGGCTGGGCTCCTCCTGGCTCTGGTGTCCGCTGCCTACACAGGGCCTTGGGAGTAGAATTCTGCTGCTTCCTCACCTCACACGAGCCCTGGGGAGGAGTGAAGAAACAGAAGGCCCTGCAGCTAAGCGACTTCTCCAGTGTCACACCTTAGGAGCTGCTGGCTCCAAAAGGAGCTGTGTCTTCGCCCCTCTTCTGCCCTGTGGCCTCAGCTCAATGGCTCTGTTGACGTGGGGTGACACCATAAGGTCTCTTTCTGGCTCTTCCCAGGGCTTTGGCACATGCTGCTTCCCTGCCCACTTGCTTAACTCATCAGGCTCCCATGACCCCTTCAGTGCCACTTCTTCCAGAAAGCCCTCCCTGATCACCTGATCATGGCAGGTTTCTGTTTTGATAGCCTTTGTTATGAGTCACAGCCCTCTGTTTCTGTTGACTGGAGGGCTGGCTCCCTCCTGGTTTGCACCTGCTTTGCTCACTGGCCCCTGTCATCGCCTCACCAAGAGCCCAGCATATGTGAGGATCCATCACTCCTTTGCTGATGGAACTCACTCATGCCTGTTCTAATTGCTTCTCCCTGAGGTTAGAATTGTGAAATGCCTTCTAGTCAGTTTCTGCAACACCCTAGACCCAAAACCAGACAAACACAGTGAGGACATGTTTCTGGCTAACCATCCACCGCTTGTGAGGCCAAGTGGCTTATCTCTCAGCCTCAGTGATATTTATAATCTTGCTGTTGGGGGAAATCCTAGCAGCCTCCTAGAGTTATTGAAGGAACTGAATGAGCTAATAATGACCATAAAATTCCTCCCTGGGACCTGGAGCAGAGGAAGCAATTGATAGTTACGGTGTGCTGCAGGGGTCTTGGAAGGAGGATGGGAAGGGAGTAGACTGGGAGTCTGGGTGCATGGGGCAGGCTGTTGCATGGCCCCCACCCTTCAAGCCTATCCCTGTTTGGATTACCCGTTTCTGTCTGGAGCTCACTAATGGCTTCTCTGTCTTGTCTCCAGGTACATGTACCCCTCCATGGATCAGCTGGCTGAAATGCTTCCTGGAGTCCTTCAACAGTTTGGGTAAGAGCAAGGGATCAGCTCCGCCTGTGTGTGCACAGCAGCCTGGCTTCTAGTGTCCGCCTGTGACTTGGCTTTGATCTGGGGACTGACCACTAAAACTAAGGTTGCAGATTAAAGATTAGGCAAGAAATCAGCTCGTCACACTCTGTGAGGACTGTTGTTCGCACAGCCTCTGAGCTCTAGTCTGCCTACTGTAACTTCAGCTTTCCTCTTGCATGAATGTTAGTTGCATGATGGCGGCTGCCCCACCCATTCTGCTCCTGCCCCCTGTTCTTTCATTCCCTCTCTTTCCCATGGAATGTTCTGGAATGGAGTTGCCTGTGCCCTTAGCTTTTCTCTCCACACCATCATTTTTCCAGTGTTCCTCTCTTTTTTGAGCCCTTCGAATAATAATAACTTCATGGTTCTTACTCTATTTGTTTTCATTTCAAGTTTTAGAATCCAAAATAAAGCTTAAGAATGGGAAGAAATGGGCCGGGCGCGGTGGCTCAAGCCTGTAATCCCAGCACTTTGGGAGGCCGAGGCGGGTGGATCACGAGGTCAAGAGATCGAGACCATCCTGGTCAACATGGTGAAACCCTGTCTCTACTAAAAATACAAAAAAATTAGCTGGCATGGTGGCGTGTGCCTTTAATCCCAGCTACTCGGGAGGCTGAGGTGGGAGAATTGCTTGAACCCAGGAGGCGGAGGTTTCGGTGAGCCGAGATCACACCATTGCACTCCAGCCTGGGTAACAAGAGCGAAACTCCGTCTCAAAAAAAAAAAAGAATGGGAAGAAATGATGCCGTAACGGGCCTTCCCGTAAATGTCGGATGGTCTCTCAGAGGCTGGGTGGTGGCCAGGAGGGAAGTGAGGAGAAGGGGGCACAGCTCTTCAAGGTCTCGGTCTCTGTCCAATCCTAAAGCACAGTGACCTCAGGGCCGTGTGGGCAGTCACGGCAGCATGCCCCCACGTTGCCTAGGCAGGCAGTCACCCTCAGGAAGTTCTCAGTGTGTCCTTGGGGCTTCCGTCACTCTCTCCATCTGTGACACGCGTTTGTATTTCTGCTTCCAGGCTGAAAAGCATTATTGGCATGGGAACAGGAGCAGGAGCCTACATCCTAACTCGATTTGCTGTGAGTGTTTGGCATTTTTTGAAAATCGCATTTTAAGTAACATTTTCAGATGAAGGAAGACATTTGGAAAAGCATCAGAAACCCAAAAGGGAAAAAAAAATGACCTGTATGCTCCACAGTTTTGTGTGTGTCTGTGTGTATGTGTATGTGTGTCTATGTGTATGTGTATGTGTGTGTGGTGTGGGTACTTATGTATATATATATTTGTGTGTGTGTGTGTGTGTGTGTGTGTACACAGCCTTTTCTCTTCCTCCACTGAAGGATGATACTGGGCACATTCTTTTGTTGTTGGCTTTGTCCGCTCAGCCATCTAGTGAGAACATTCCTCGCTCACTGAGGACGCTGCTATGACACTGCTTTGTAACAGCTGTACAGTTTTTTGCAGTAAGGGCACTCCTGGGTCCTAACTGATTCTTAAGTAAAGCCAGACGCGGGAAGTTTTCGTGAGAATTGTCACTGTTACTCCTCTGGGCTCAGGTCAGGAGCCACGCTATTCCTTTGTATCCTCTCCAAGCAATTGTGCAAGGATGCAACAATACTCATTTTGTTCAGCCATGGGTATTTTGATGACCTGTTTGCTGGGCTTTGCTGGGGATTAGGAAGACTGACATGATTCTACAACATCCATCTTAGAAAAGAAAGAAAGAAGTGCTGACATGAATCAAGGTGGTCTGGCCATATAGACTCTCAGCAATTTAAAAAATGCTCTCAACTGTATCCAAGGTGTACATATCAATATCTTAATGTATCTGCCTCACATAATGACATTTTGTTCAATGACAGATTGCATATTTGACAGTGGTTTGATGAGGTTATAATGGTTCATTTTTACTATACCGCTTTTATGTTTAGATTTGCTCAGATTCATGAATACTTACCATTGAGTTGTGATTCCCTGTAGCATTCAGTAGAGTCACATGCTGTATAGGTTTGTACAGAAAAGCTAGGAGCACGGGGCTGTACCATACAGCCCTGGGGAGTTGTAGACTGTACGATCTAGGTGTGTATAGTTACACCCTGTGATGTTCACATGATGACAGAGTCTCCTAATGATGAATTTTCTCAGAATGTATCCCTGTTATTCAGTGTTGCATAACTGTGTGCGTGTGTGTGTGTGTGTGTGTGCGCATGCGCGCAGGCATGTGTGTGTTTATAACTACAGTTGTTACTGCCATGACTAGATAGCATTTTTGCACCCTGTCTGATGGATGAGGTTGATAGTGTGTTACACCCATTTGAAGCTGGGGAAGCTGAGCCTTCATGGGTTGAAGTGACTTGCCCAAGGCAGGTCTGCAAAGCAGTGGGCTTCCTACTCCCCCCGTGCTTCCTCTTTCTCCTTCCCGCTGTCTCTAGGACCCAATCCCTTGTCTGCTGTACTGGAACCTCAGTTTGGTATGGGGTGGGGCCGAGGAGCAGTAGCCTGCTCTGGTGCCCACACTGCCTTTTTCTGGGTACTTCTCCCAAGCTTCGGTTTGCTTTGGAAGGTTCCTAGTGTTTCCGATGACTGGGCTGTCTGTCTCACTTTGTGTCTTGAATTGCAGCTGAACAACCCTGAGATGGTGGAGGGCCTCGTCCTCATCAACGTGAACCCTTGTGCAGAAGGCTGGATGGACTGGGCCGCCTCCAAGGTGAGGTGGGGGCTTGTCAGGCAGGCGGGTTTCCTGCAGGCAGAGGGACAGGTGCTCACAGCCTCTGCCTGGAGGAGCCTTGGCTCTCTGAGCCTTCTCTTTACGCACTCCTCCACTACCCTCTACTGCCCACTCCAGGAGAGAAAGCAGTTCCCTCTGCTTTGCTTAGAACAGTACACATGACCTCAGCCATTTGCCATTCAGAAGACTTAAATACCACCAAGCTGTCCAAAGCAGGAAAACCACTAGGATGCGGGTCCCTGAGCCAGCTTGGAAAAGCGTTGCTTGGTACCTGACTTGTGCCAGGCTTTGGTCAAGATGCTGAGCAATCTTGAAGAACAAGACTTGAGATGAGCAAGACAAAAGCCTCTAATCTTAGGAATTCATTCACATTATTAAAGAGACATACATACATATTTAGAACTGACCGTGCCACAAATTTGCCGATAATAATTAGCTGGCATAGATTGAGAGTTGTCTGTGTGCTGGTTTCATTTTGCATTGCTATATGTGCATTACTGCAGTCAATCTTCAGAGTAACTCCAGGAGGTGAGAATTTTTATAACAGTTTCAGAGGTGAACACTGAGACTTGGAGTGGCTAAGGGGATTGCCCAGGGTCACGTAAAGCTGGGAAGTAGAAAGGGGCCTGGATGCAGCTCACTTTGAGGTTGTGGTGGGTGGACCTGACCATCCTTGCCCCTGGGGCTCCCGTCTGGGATGGGAGATGGCAGGCCTGGTCAGAACGGGCTGCCTGCAGGAGGAGGAACCTGAGCTGTGTTGGCTAGTGTCCTAAGGTTCCTTGTTTGTCTTTATAAAATTATCATTGTGGTGTTTTGTTTCTTTTCCTGTAAAGGCCCTGGTGTTTGCCAAGGAGAGGGAGAGGTCATTCCATTTGAAACAGGACAAAGCCCTTTCAAGCTGAGGTGATCCCAGCTTCTCATTGTGAAAGTGCGTTTTTGCCGAATTTTGGGTGGCTGCCAGCGACAGAGGGTTTGAAGGGGTCATGCCTCTTGCCCCTTCTCCCCTCCCTGTCCTAGCCACGGTGATTTTCCATTTGTTCTTTGAACATTACTTCAGAATGCGGGAGCCCTTCCCTCCTGCCCAAATGACATTCAGGAGTGGAATACACTCCCTGGCTTTTATTTGATTTTCCAGCAAAGGAAGTGACATTCCAGTCAACCTGTTGGGCTTCGTGATCGCTGTTCTGAGCCAGACTCGAAGGTCTGGGGATGGCGACCACTGGCTGATGTGAACCCTGAGGAATGTCTGTGGGGTTTTAACAGCTGTGCTCCACCCTTCCTTTTCAACCCCGGCCTTTTGAGCACCAGGCGTTGGGGTTAGGTACTGTGATATGTGCAGTTACTTCCTGCAGCCCTCACCTTGACCTTGTGGCCTTGAAGTTCCTGGCACTCCCAGTTCCAGATTAGAAGTCTGAGACCCACAGGCTGCAACTGCCCGGTGCCACACAGCTGGGCAGTGTCAGTCAGGGGCCAGCCAAGGACCCCCAGGTCTAGAGCTTCTCTTCCACTTATTCTTGCTCTGGTCAGCACACATTTGTGGAGCTCCAGCTGTAAACCTAGTGTTGTCACTGGGGAGAGGTAGGAAAACGAAGATCAGCCGTGTCTTTGGTAATGTCAGTATGCTTAGAAAGGGGAAACTGGCTTGGGGATGATAGAAGAGGGATAGTTGGGAGCCAAGCATATCCTGGGTGTAGACTGGGGAGCTCAGCGTGTTTTTAGAAAAGGTGAATGGAAGGCCCTCTTTGCTGAGGACTTGGTGACTGTTTGGAGCAGGGTAAGGTAGCAGCAGCTGAGTCTTCATTCAGCACTCCTTTGCTGCGCATCTCTTGTGCACAGACCTCTGAAAATAAGAAATTGGATCTAGTTCCAGGCCCTGCATTTGAGGGATCAGGCCCAGGAGGGAAGTGGAGACAAAAACTGAGTTTCTATCAAGGGGGATGTCCCTGAGGCCTGCATTCAGAGGGGAGTCTGGCAGTGCCACTCTGCCCCCAGGGAAGCGGGGTTTTCTGACCTTGTTAACTACTATCGGCTCCTGGCTTCACCCACTTTACTCCTCCCCAGATCTCCGGATGGACCCAGGCCCTGCCAGACATGGTGGTGTCCCACCTCTTTGGGAAGGTGAGTTGTGTGGTGTGGCATTCTGTGGTTCCTGCTGAGCACCGAACTGTGTGGTGCTCAGCACAGGGCCCTGTGTCGGGGTGGAGACAACAAGACACAATCAGTGGGGCCGCCGAACTAATGCTCATGAGATAATGTGACGTCATTCATTCATAAGCAACAAGTCATTCATTGTCTCTCTCTTTTTGTATGTGTCTTTTAAAAACAGCTGTTTGAAGTACCATTAACTGCACATATTTAAAGTGCACAATTTGCTAATTTGACATGTGTACATTCGTAAAAACATCACTGTAATCAGGAGAATAACGTCTTCATCACCCCAGGAGTTTCTTGTGCCCCTTGATAACCCTCCTCCCCCTCCTTCCCAGGCAACTTCTGATCTGCTTCTGTCTCTCTAGGTGGCTTTGCAATTCCTAGATTTTGATGTAAATGGCATTATACAGTATGCACGCTTTTATTTATTTATTTATTTATTTATTTATTTATTTATTTATTTTTGGTCTGGCTTCTTTCACTCAGCATAACTATTCTGAGATCGGTCCGTGTTGGTGGGTGGATGGACAGTTTATTCCTAGGCTGGGTGCAGTGCTCACACCTGTAATCCCAGCACTTGGGGAGGCCATGGCAGGAGGACAAGTTGAGCTCAGGAGTTCAAGACCAGCCTGAGCAACATAGTGACACCCTGTCTCTTCAAAAAAAGTAAAAATTAGCTAGGCATGGCGGTGCATGCCTATAGTCCTAGCTACTTGGGAGGCTGAGGTAGGAGGACCGCTTGAGCCCAGGAGTCTGAGGTTACAGTAAGCTGTGATCGCCCACTGCACCCTATCTCTTAAAATCAGTGTATTCCTTTTTAGTGCCAAGAAGTATTCTGTTTATGTATGTGCAACAGTTTGTTTTTCTCTTCACCTGTTGATAAGGCCTTTGGGCTGTTTCCAGTTTGGGGCTGTTATAAATCTGGTCCATGGCAAACATGTCCGTGGAGTTAGCCGTGTGCTGGGCTCCATCCTAAGAGCTTCACAAGTATAAACTGTAGCATTCCACCCAGGAGCTCTGTGACCTGTGTGATATATTCTGTTCTCATTCCCAGTGTATGGAAGAGGAAACTGAGACCAGAGAGGTTGAGTGACTTGTGTAGGGTCTCACAGTCAGGGAGAGGTAGAGCCAGTGTTTGAACCTATGAATCTGGCTTCATTCTGGTAACCAGAGCAGGAGGGCAACTGCCTGTGCTGCTGCCCGGCTCTTAGATGAGCTGCTCTTCTGTGGAGTCACCCCACTGAGGGTGAGCGAGCCAAGCAGCTCAGCATGCTAGAGTGAGTGGTCATCTTCTTATCAGCTCAGCCTGCCTGGCCTCAGCCTCTGGTTTGGTGTCGTCAGCTGGGGTCAGCTGCCCTTGGGAAGGACATGCCATGGGCTTGGCTGCAAGCTGAGGGTCTGGAAAACCCCTTGGTTGCCTGAAATTGCAGTGACCTGCTTTGCCTACTGTGAATGGTCCATATATCACTGTCTCCTTGTAGCTAACATGTGTGACCATCTGACACCCCCGTGAGTCCTGGGGAAACAGTGGAGGGATCGTTGGGATCCAAGCATATCCTGGGTGTAGACTGGGGAGCTCAGTGTGTTTTTAGAAGAGGCAAATGGAAGGCCCTCTTTGCTGAGGACTTGGTGAATGTTTGGAGCAGGGTAAGCTAGCAGGAGCTGGGTCTTCATTCAGCACTCCTTTGCTGTGAATCGACCTCTGAAAATAAGGAATTGGATCTAGTTCCAACTCCACTCTGGAGTTGCCGAGTGTACCAGGGAAACAGTCTGCACTCTAGCTGGCGAGTACAGCTGTTAGGTTTGCCTGTTGTGTTGATTTCCTGTGGCTTCTATAACAAATTGCCACAAGCAGGATGGCTTAGAACAACGCAGGTGGGCCAGGGCACGGTGGCTCATGCCTGTAATCCCAGCACTTTGGGAGGCCAAGGCATATGGATCACCTGAGGTCAGGAGTTTGAGATAAGCCTGGCCAACATGGTGAAACCCCATCTCTACTAAAAATAAAAAACCAGCTGGGTATGGTGGCACATGCCTGTAATCTCAGCTACTTGTGAGGCTGAAACAGGAGAATTGCTTGAACCTGGGAGATGGAAGCTGCACTGAGCCAAGATCACACCATTGCACCCCAGCCTGGGTGAGACAGAGGGAGACTCCATCTTTAAACAACAACAACAGCAACAAGAAAAGAACAACAAAAATGTGTTCTCCCACAGCTCTGAATCTAGAACTCTGACATCAGGTGCTGGCAGGGCCGCCCCTCCTTCACAGGCTCTAAGGGAAAATCGTCCTGGCTTCTTACTGTTCTAGGTCGCTCTCGGCGTTCTTTGTCCAGCGGCTGCTCACGCCGCTCTCTGCCTCTGTCGTCACGTGGTCTTCTCTGTGTCTGTTCCAGTTCCCCCTCACCTTGCTCATTTGAGGACACTTCCCATTGGATTTTGTCCCCACTCATGTCATCTAGGACAGTTTCATATCAAGATCCTTAATTAATTACATCTGCAAAAACCCTTTTCCCCAGCAAGTTTGCATTCCCAAGTTGAGGAGATTTGTCATGGACACATCTTCTGAGGGCCACGGTTTAGCCCACAATAGCCCTCTTTCCTCTTTACGATTCACTCTTCAGTGTGTGATACATTTTCCCTGTCCTGAGTGTGGAATCTGAAACTGATGGGAATTGGGAAACACTTAGAGCCACTGTCTCTGTTTCCCTGGAGGACGGGTCTCAGGCATAGTGTTGAGCATCTGACCTGACTGTACCCCACATTATTTGGAGACTGATGGTCAGGCCGTGGTGTCTGAGGGTGCTCCGAGATTACTGCCCTTGGTTTTGACCTGACATCCCAGTGTGATTGCTGCTTTTTCCAGAGTTCATCTCTTAGTAGCCAGTTGGGCTCCGTGCTGTCTGAATGATCCTGGACAGTGTGATGCAGCTCAAGCTTGACATCAGCTTTCTTTGACCTCCAGCTCCAGCCCCTCGTATGGCTACCACTGGTCACATCAGATCCTTCTGTGAAACCTGCAGTGCCTGCCCTTGTACAGATGAGAAACAGAGCAGACAAACTGTTTGTTTGTCACAAATGACATTCAAAAAGCATCCAAAGATGGGGAGGCTGAGGCTGACTTCCCCAAGGCTCGGGCTGGCCCCAGTGGGAGTCGCAGTTGCCCTTCTTTCTAGCAACTTGCTGTTGTGTGAGATGGTTTTGGTTTTCAAGCAGGAAAACCTTCTTTTCAGCTCTTTTCATTGAAAAATAATTGCTAGCATTTGCATCAAATTTTTATTGTTTGCAGAGGTGAGAACACAACGTCCATTAAGTCCTATAACCTAGTGACATTATCCCCCCTCTCGCTGACTTTTTTTTTTTTTAAGAGAGCTGAGGCTCAGAGAGGTTAAAAGATTTGTCCAAGAAAGGGGCAGTGATGAAGAGAATTTCTAGATCCAGCAGGTCTGACTTCACATTGAAACTCCCGAAGTAATGGGTTCAGAAGGGCGGGCTGTGGCCTTCCAGGACTGGGGTCTTTTCTGCTCCCGGTGGATAGTGAAACCCCTGTCTGCACCTGGCTAGGCATGCTGCTTTCCCGAAGGTTTTCTAGGTCCATCGCTGTCTTGTGGATTAGGCATTATTATCTTTACTTTGTCCCCAAATAACCTGGAGAATGGAGAGTAGTGACCAGCCAGGGGCACAGGACAATAATGACCATCTTCTCCCCTGTCTAAATGCAGGAAGAAATGCAGAATAACGTGGAGGTGGTCCACACCTACCGCCAGCACATCGTGAATGACATGAACCCCGGCAACCTGCACCTGTTCATCAACGCCTACAACAGGTAGTGGGATGTCGTGCAGTCACATCATTGCTATTTATTAGGTGTTTTCTGCCGATCTGAAATAGGGGCAAGTGAGAGGAGGGTATAAAATGAGTGGAAGATGCAGGCCCTGAATCTGAGTAAGTAGATTCATAGGACAGGTGCCCAGGAAGGACACGTGGCCTGTATGCTGGTTCCTGGCGTTCAGCTCGTCTTGCAGGGACCTGAACAAGCACTCCAGACCCCTGGGGGTGCAGAAGTGAGAGGGACGCGGTTGCACAGTCAGAGGGTTGAGAGTGAATGTGCGTGCCCACTGCTGACCTTCACAAAGAGCCAAATGTGGGAAGAGCCAAGTGAGAGAGCAGCAAAGCGCTCCTGGAGGGCGGGATAATCCAGGCGGGCTTCTGGGAGTTTGTCGGGGAGCAAGGATGAGGAGGGCCTGAACACAGCCTTTGGCTAAGGCATGGCCTGCTTAGGGCCAGCACTAGGGGCTTATCTGGAGCTCATCTAGGGGAGGAGACAGATCAGGGCCATTGGTGTCAGCCAGAGAGTCTGGAGTCTTCCAGAGAGCTCACTCAGCCTGCTGAGCTAGCTCTGCCACACTTCCAAAACAGGAGATAGAAATGAGCCCCATCGTGTTTATCTCTGCTCAAATGTTAATGATGTGACTTCCTGAAATTAACATTTGTAACAGAGCTTAGTAGCTGCCTCTTTCTACACTCCTGCCCTCATCTCAGTGGTCACATCCTCACTATGTGACTGAAGAAACAGAAGCCCAGCAGTGCATACACATAGCAAACACTTCCTGAGAACTGGAGTGAGTCAGGCATTTGGCTGGGCATTGGAGACACAGGAGACCAGCACAGCCTGCAGACTCCACATGCTAACTTGTCTGCATACATAGCACAGTAATTAACGGACCCCACTCAGAATGTCACTAGGAGGGTCCTGGTGTTATTGTCATTTCCTGTTGAGGACGCAGAGGCGCAGAGAGGCCCAGTGTTCTCCCCAAGGCCACACAGCTTGAAAGTGTCGGAGCGTAATTTGGGTCCTGCGTGTCTAACTCCAGGCCATGAGCTGGGAAAGAGCGTGTCGGGTCGGGAGCTGTAAGACAGCAGAGAGGGTGGGCGGCCACGTGCAGGGTGGGTGGTCACGCTGGACAGGGCCCGTGCTGGGCCTCACGCTAGTGCAGTGGGAAACCACCGCGAGATGAGAGAATGCAAAGACCAGCCTGAGTCTTAAGGCGATAGTTTAACTCGGAGCTAGTGAGGCTGGGACTTAAACTAAGAGGCCATAAGAGCATTTGGGGATCTCTTCGTACATTTGGCCCTCTGTCAGGTGGGGGCTCTGTCTAGGGGGACAGGGAAGGCAGGGACCCTCTATAATGGAGGACCTGACTTCTAGTCTCATTAAAAAAAAAAAAAAGCCACACAAATATTTGTAACAAAATGAGGAGGGCTCTGCTTGAAATACGTGCGTCCTGCTGTCCCTCTAACCAGGTCTGTGGACACCAAGAGGGTGTGCCTTCCTGAAAGCCACAGGGCCTCTCGCAGGGGTGGGGTGTGGGTGGTTTGCCAGAATGGCCACTGGCAGGACTGGAGTGGGAGCTTTCTTCAGAGGAGGGCGCTCCTGCTCATGCTAATAATGCATTTCTTTCCTGTAGCCGGCGTGACCTGGAGATTGAGCGACCAATGCCGGGGACCCACACAGTCACCCTGCAGTGAGTGGCTTTTCTCTCCCTCAGCATTGCAGGCAGGGCTCCCCTCTGCACATGTGGCCTCGCTGGCAGGGCCTGCTTTCTGAGTGTGGCATGACGCTGCGCCAGTGAGACCTGGATGTATTCTACCCAGAGACTGAGCGTTACCCAGCCTGACTGGACTTACCCCTGTGCCAGTGGCATTTGTTTCTAGGGTATCCCCATGACCTACGCCTTTGATCTTGGAGGAGGATTGTTGATTGTACTTGGGTCCGCGTTTATTCAGCACCTACTACATCAGTAACTGTGTGAGGCTTTGCTTCATGAAACCTAGAGACAGATAGCACAGAACCCAGCCTCAAAGCACTCCATAAGTCTAGGAGGAAAAGACAGTCACAGAAGGAACTAACTGGGATTACACCAGTAATGATAGTGTCCTTTTGTGGCTGAGTAAACCGCACTGTATGACCCTTGGGAACCTGGCATGTCATTGCCTTTGTCCTCACGCTGTTCTTGTTTCTGTCTTGATTACCAGCGACATTCTGCTGATCCCTCCTTGAGAAGATGCTTTAAGAGAAAAGCATTGGGGCACAGACATTCCCTGGCTGAAATTCATACTAAGTTGTAAATGACTAATAACCAATTTTATCCCAAGATCAAAGGAGAATGAAGTGAAAGCTCAAAGGGTGTTAGGGAAACCAAAATGACATTGTTTTTAGAATGCAGGCCCCCGCGTGGCAGGCCTGGGAGCGGGACAGTATTTAAAGGAAACTTGCACTAATTCTCTGCTCTATCCCTCACCCCAGGTGCCCTGCACTGTTGGTGGTAGGGGACAGCTCGCCTGCAGTGGATGCAGTGGTATGTCAAAATCACAGCTGGTTTGTGTGTTTAACTTGACAGGCTAAGTCTGCTTGACTTTGGTGAAGTGGTCCTGCCCTCCCCTCCTCTCCTCTGCCCCATCAGGGCAAGTGATTTTTGAAATGCCATATTGGCCTTTGGGCAGAGGGCCCAGCCAAGTCTCTCCCTGGTGGCTGCCAGCCCTGGCTGCTTGCCAGTGTCTCCTCTCCCAAGCCCCCTCCCCCCACCGATCTGTGTCCCATTGGACTGTTTGAGTGGACGTGTTTGCCACCTGGCTTCCTGGCCAAGAGACTCACCTCTTACTTGGAAAGCAGATGGATCTTTCCAAACTGAGTGGTGGCTAATGAGCTGGCAGGCGACAGAGGTACTGGGAAGCAGGGCTCAGCAAAACTTTCTGAGTCCTCTCACCCCTTAACTCCCACCTGCAACTTTGTGGCAGCAAAAAGAGGACTCTGCCTTTCAGACAACCCCATAGCTGGGGAGACGGAAGATTTAGGGGCTGTGGGTCAGAGTCCTAGAGTACTGGCATGCCTTGTGCAGTGATCTGCAGAGTGACATTTGCAAATGTTTGTGTAGTAAAGACCTAGCGTGCCTTAATGAACCATGAGTTTCTTATGGGCTGACTGACTGGAGGATAATCGTGGGATACATCAATAGAGATACACTGTTCAAATCAAGGGAGGTGATAGTTTTACTTGAGACATTGTGAACATCATGGGCTATATGTGGGTATTCTGTCCAATTCTGGATGCCCCTTTCAAGGGGGTCACTGACAAAAGGAAGAGGGAAACCAGCTTAGTCAATGTGATTTTACATGAAGAATAGTTGTTAGATCTGGGAATGTTAAATGTGTAGAATCTCTGACAGCTGCTGGTTAAACAAGGATATTCATTTAGCAGGTATTTCTGCAGTATCATTTACATTTCAGCTAGTCTTTGTAACAACCCTTTGAAAAAGATATCATCCCATTTTATTGATGAGGAAACGGAGGCCCAAAGAAGTTAAGTAACTTACCCAAGGTCATACAGTGGTAATGGCAAGGCTGGGATTTAAAGCCACATCTGCTGAGTCTCAAACGCCACATACTTTTGTCTTTGCCAGCCGAAATACTGGAGTTTCTGGTGACAGCGGCAGAGTGGCAGGAAAGGGGAAGATGTTTTGACTTTGGCTTCACATAGAAAATTAACAGATTTCCTCCCTCTTGTGCAGGTGGAGTGCAACTCGAAACTGGACCCAACAAAGACCACTCTCCTCAAGGTACAGGGAAAACAGTGGGGGGTTGCGTCTGTGGTCTCATAGAAACTCTCATGTTTTCTGCAACATTGAGTTGGGCTTGAAAGGCTCACTATCAGAAACCATAGAATTGATGACTTACCAACATCTGTTGGGAGCCGAGTGGTGATCTGAGGCTGTGAAGTGAGGCATCCCTCTCTGGGACTGCAGGATCCCTTAGTGGGCGGCTGGTCTGAGGCCTTTGGGGATAGAGAGGCCGGGGATGACTTGGCAGGGGCCCTCCATAGGTTGGGGCCAGGACATTTCTCCAAAAGGAACATCTGCTTGTCATAAGAGGAGACGTCTCCCAAGGCTGGGGAAGGACAGGATTTCTCCAGCAGGTTCATCTGAGCACATGGTGTGTTAGCTCACTCATGGCTGGAGTTGAGGGTCTGTAGCAACCTCTGCCAGTCCCTTGCCAGTTAGGACTGATTGCACAATGCAAGCTACCTGCTGTTTGTGGCAGCCTTGTCTGGAGATGCAACACAAGAGTAGGAACCTTTCAGAGGGTTCTCCTGGCGTGGGTGCAGCCCTGCAGGGACAGGTGGCCAGGAGGGACCTGGGTAGAGATGAGGTGGCTCCCTTGCACTGGGGGAAGGGCAGGGAGGTGGCATCTGAAGGTCACCGTGCCCTCAACTTCCCCCAAAGAAGTAGAATGCCTTTGAAGGGCACATGTCGGGTGTTGATACTTACTGGGTGGGAGGCTGTTTTCCTATATTGGGCTCTTTACACAGATTTCCTTTCAAGATTCCCTCAAAAGGAAATGGCAAGATTAGAAGCTGCTGGGTGTCAAGCTTGCATAATGCCGTACTTTGAGGACTGTTTTCATAAGTTATCACAAAGTGGGTGGCTTCAAGCATCAGATATTTATTCTCTTTTAGTTCTGAAAGCCGGAAGTCCGAAATGAAGGTGTGGGCAGGGCTGTGCTCACTCTGAAGGCGCTAGGGGAGAGTCCTGCCTGCCTCCTCCAGCTCCTGGTGGCTGCTGGCCACACGTGGTGCATCTTGGCTGGGAGATGCATTGCTCCAGTCTCTACCTCCATCCTCACTCAGCACTCTCCCTGTGTATCCCTGCGTCTGTGTCCAGACTTCCTGCTTTTAATAACATCAGCCATTCTATTTAGAATCCACTCTAATCCAGTATGACCTTATCTTACCTTGATCCTACCTACAAATACCCTATTTCCAAGTCCGGTCACATTGGTAGGTACTGGGATTAGGACTCCAGTTATGTCTATTTGGGGGACATAATTCAACCACAGCCCATAGCAAAGGGCAGATGGCCTGACTGTGGTCAGACGGCCGATTTGATGGTAGATCTGGGAACAGAATGTACTTCGGCCTGATTCTAGAGACTCTTCCACAGCGCTAGCCCTGTAGGTAATACTGCAGTGCACAGAGGTTGGGGTTTGCCCAGTAGACATACCTGCCGCAAAGCCCACAAGTTGCAAGCTACAAGCTAAATGTGCTGAGCACTGTGCCTGGAGGGAAGCTCAGGTGTCCTGCTCCTGCATGCTGGTTGAGCTGAGGGCTGCCTCAGGTCAGCGTCGCCTTGTGGCTAGTGTTGAAGGTCCTGACTTGAGGCACCCTGGGATAACCTGTAGGATAGCCACAGCCTCACTACTCCCATGAACTCCTCCAGCCCCGTTTCGCCCCAGGCCACCCTCCTCCGAGGCCACCCTCCCCCCAGCCTCGCCCTGCTTCCTCGCCCTCAGTCCTGCTCATTTGCAGTCTGGATGCACATTCTCACGTGCTACAGTGGCCTCTTGAGGTTTGGTGATTTCACAGGAACTTTGAAAGTCCACCCGTTAGGAAGGGTACTGGTTGGGAGCTGAATCGGCCCAAAGCCACAAATTCAGCTGCTTCCTTTTGAGGGAAACTTTCAAGGGAATGCATGGGAAGGGCTTTGCTATCAAACCCCTTCGGGTCAGACAGATCCTGGCCACAGTCTTGCAAGTTCCTCAAGCTCTTTCTGGCCCAGTTTCTGCCTGTGAAATGGGACAGCTGTACCTTCCGTGGTTCTTAGGGAATTGAGTGAAATAATTTATAGGGCTTAGCGTAGTGCCTGGCATGTAGTAAGCTACAAGGGATGGTTGCCAACGAGACACCAGCAGCCTTGCTTGGTGGGACTGGGGCGCTTCCCACCTATGGTCCACCCAGTGCCTCCTTTGTAAGGCAGGACAAGGCAGGGCAGGGCAGCGGGCAGATGCGCATTGTTTTCGGAACAAACTCAGTGTGCAGATGGCCCTGGCTGTGGTGCTGGCCCCTAACCAACTTCCCTCTCTCCTAGATGGCGGACTGTGGCGGCCTCCCACAGATCTCCCAGGTGAGTGCCGCCTTGGCTTTTGCATTCCACACCTGTTGCCTCTCCCTGGGTGGAGTGCATGTGCCTCTGTGACACCTGTTCCCTCACTGCCTTGTTATGACACTGGATGACAGTTTGTGGAGTGTTGAGAAAAGGTGCTGTACAGGAGGACTCTGATCCCTGAGGAGCCAGCCCCTGTGGAGTCGGTGATACTGCGGTTCACAGAGGTTAAGGGATTTGCCAAGTAGATATACTTTGGTCCTCCTGGGTCAGAATCTAGGTGTGACTGCCCCAAAGACCACAAGCTTCTGCTGGAGCAAAGGGCCCAAAGGAGCTCCAGCCCAGAGCAGAGGGGCATGGGGGAGATTAAACCCATTGTGTATGTGCTCATGTAAATGTGTGTACATGTACAGATAAACACATTGTGTGTGCGCATGTAAATGTGTGTATACATGTACAGATAAACACATTGTGTGTGCACATGTAAATGTGTGTGTACGTGTACAGATAAACACGTGTGTGCATGTAAACATGTGTGTACATGTACAGATAAACACATTGTGTGTGCGCATGTAAATGTGTGTGTACATGTACAGATAAACATTGTGTGTGCACACGTAAATGTGTGTATGTGTACAGATAAACACGTGTGTGCATGTAAATGTGTGTACATGTACAGATAAACACTGCGCATGTAAATGTGTATGTACATGTACAGATAAACTGTGTGCATGTAAATGTGTGTACATGTACAGATAAACATGTGCATGTAAATGTGTGCACATGTACAGATAAACACATTGTGTGTGCATGTAAATGTGTGTACATGTGCAGATAAACGTGTGTGTGTAAATGTGTGCATGTAAATGTGTGTGCACATGTACAGATAAACACTTTGTGCGCATGTAAATGTGTGTGTACATGTACAGATAAACGTGTGTGCATGTAAATGTGTGTACATGTATAGATAAACACGTGTGCGTGTAAATGTGTGTACATGTACAGATAAACACATTGTGCATGTAAATGTGTGTGTACATGTACAGATAAACACGTGTGTGTACATGTACAGATAAACACATTGTGTGTGTGCATATAAATGTGTGTGTACATGTACAGATAAACACGTTGATCAATGTAATGTGTTTGCTGCATGGCCGACTCGTTCGGTTTCCCCTCCTATAATCTCACCAACCTAACAAGTAAACTGTTAATCTGTTGTCTTCTGATTTTATATCCTGATAGTTTTGTGTCCTATCTTAAAATGGAATGAGTTTTTGTCATCCTTTTTCTCCAAAACCCGCCCTGCCTCCTTTCTTCCTCCTCTTTTCCTTTCTCTACTTAAAATGAGAATGGATGTACCCTGGCCGTAATTAAAAGAATCTTCAGAGCTTCAGAGGAGCTCAACTAGTGCAGGCTTGCGGGACACCAGCCCAGGGAAGAGCAATTCCTGTGTAATCCTGTCATCGTGTGTCCTTGTAAGTTGGGTGTGTGTTTACAAAGGGTTTTCCCATCCTTGATTAAATTAGGTCCTTACAATAGTCCTCAGAGGTAGGAAGAGCAAGCATTTTATTCTAGTGTCACAGAAGAGGAGACTGAGGCTAAAGGTTGAGAGAGATGACCCACAGTTCCTGCAGCTGAAATGGGGCCCAGATATTCTTGCTCTCAAGCCTGTGTTCTTGGTTGTCTCCACCATCTTGAACACAGGCGTCCCTGTTCTCTGCAGCCCTGACCTGCTTCTCTCATCTCTTCCTTCCACTGTTCCACAAATTCCAGAGGGCAATTTGAGCATAGGCTCTCTTTTAACTGTCATGTGACTCTTTGCGGAGTGCTGGCAGGAGTTAGCGGAGAGCAGAGAGGGAGTCAGCTCAGCCTCTGCCAGTGCGCTCTCGCTGTCTCAGGAGAACAGGACCCAGGGCACTGGATACAACAGTCGGAAGTAACTGAAGAACAGATACTTTGCGTGTATCCCCTTGATACTTGAGCATCCACCTCCTAGTTTAGATTAAATTAACTGAGAGAACTGGTAAAACTGGGTGTGGTCTCAGCGTTCCATACGCATTTCACTTAAAGTAGCCTGGTTAGTTGTTAATGACTTGGTTTGTCTATCCATCCAACGAACCATCCAACCATCATTCATCCATTCATTCTTCTTCATATTGTTTCTTTCTTTTGTCCTTCTAACATTCATATTTCTCTTCTTTTTCCTTCCTTCTGCCCATCACTTCTTTTTTAAATCCGTCTATCCATCCATCCTTCCTTCCTTCCTTCCTTCCTTCCTTCTTTCCCTCCTTCCTTCCTTCTTTCCCTCCTTCCTTCCATTCATCCATCCATCCATCCTTTTCTTTCTACTCATCCATCTATCTATCATCCCTTCTTCCTTCCAGGCAACCTGCTATTGAGGCTGATAGTGACTTGCCTCAAGAAACAAGTGTTTTGGGTTTGGAGAGCCCTGGGTTAATCTACAGGACCCACCACTTACTTGTTGTGGGACCTCGAGTGGATTTACCTCTCCACATCTCTTCCGATATGAAATGTATCTAAGGTAGCACTGACCTCATAAGGGGTTGTCAGGAGTGAGTGAACGCACACAGAAAAGCCCCTTGCATGGGGAGTGGCTCCCGATGCTGATGCAGTCATGTTCCAGATGCTAGGTTGGACACGTCCCTTCGTGGAATCTCCCCAGAGACACACAGAAACAGCTGTGGCACTGTGCCGTGTATTACAGGTGAAGAAACTGGCTCAGACAGGTCGTGTCACTTGTCCAAGTTCCACAGCTGTGGGGTGCATTTCCCATCATTATCCCATAGTCTTCCTTTGACTTTTGTGTTTTGTCTGTCAACACATGATGGCCTTTGTCTTGAGCCAAGCTCTCAAATGAAAGTGACCACAGGCATGGCTGGTTCCCCATGGCCTTGGGTGATCTGGTCCCTCAGCGACTGACTGCATTTTCTCTCCCTGTCTCTTGCAGCCGGCCAAGCTCGCTGAGGCCTTCAAGTACTTCGTGCAGGGCATGGGATACAGTGAGTATGGTGTTCCCTGTGTGCAGTGGGCTGGGGCAGGTGTCAGAATTGGAAGTGCTCTGTCCTGAGCCAGGCTTGGATGAGCAATTCTGTATCTTCTTGGCCAGCTTCAGCTTTCTGCAAATTGAGCAGGGCCGAGGAAGAAACGTTTAGGTGTGTGGAGGGTGCATGTGGCAGCCTAGAGGGTCTAGCCTCTCGTTTATACCAGAGAGGCTCATTTTCCTGTTGAACAGAAGTTGTTTCACACCAGGGATTTTGGGGGGGTTAGATGAGGACTGTCCCTTTAAACACCAAGACAATGACAAACAGTGACATGATAATATTTTTAAAAATTTTGATTACAAGTTTTAAGAGACTGCCAGCTGTAGTGAGGATGAAGCTGATGCCAATGATGGAAGATTACTAACATGTTGTTTTATCTCATCTAACCACGCAGCAATCCTTTGACATATTCTTAGCCCCATCTTATCCATAATGAAGCTGAGGCTTTGGGGGTCTAAGCAGGAAGCAGAGGGCAGATCTGCAGAAGTTCTTTGAAGACTGTGAAGCTCTGTGGAAGTGGGCTAATGCTAATGTTGCTTATATTCAAGGCAAAGCAGTCATGTCATGAGCTTTGGGAAGTGGAGGATACATTGGAAGCATCATTCAGGAACTCGCTAATTCTTACTTCATAGTTACCGTCTGTTAGACACATACAGCCTTTTTTCCAAAAGCACCATCCCAGGACTAGGACAGACCCTGGCAAGTTGCAGCCGGGCTGAACAGTAGCCGCGGTCACTGCTGTGGGCTTGTCAGCCATGGTCCAACCCCGACGTGACTCTGCATTCTTCTGACCCTACTGCTGAAAACTATAGTTTGTGTGTCCTTCCTAATTAGGAAGGTATTGAACTTGCGATCCCTTTTATCTTTTCCTTAAACTGTCAACCTGTGTAAAATAGTAAGAGTATACCTGGCACACTGACTGCAGTCCTGGCCTCAGCCTCAGCTGTGATTAGCTATAGCGAGGTCGGGGGCTGGCAGGTTTGATTGCCGTGCCTCAGACTCAGACAGGATCCACATCCCCAGATGCCCTCTTCAACAGAAGATCTGCCTGTGGGGCCCCTGCCTTTCTAGCAGGGAGGGATGGAAGTTGTAGGCAAAGGCCGTCACTGGAGAGAGCCCAGGCAGCCCTGGTTTATCCTGCAGGGTGTGAACTGTGGCTCCCATTTGTCTTGGCCCCGCCAGGGTTTGGATTTCTGCTTTAAGAGTGTGTTCTGGAGAGAAAGGAAGTGAAAGCTAGACCTCCTCTTTCTCCCCAAATCAGCTTCTATTTGCAGAAAGCCATAACCTCCTGCAGGTCTTGGGGGGAAAAATAACAGGAAGAGCTATGGTCTCAAAGGCATCAGCCAAAGAGAAGGAAAGGAACAGGTCACTGGGCTCCTGCACACCACAGGGGGCTGGCCTGATAAATGCTTTGCACACCCGACATCAGTGCTCCCTCTATCCTCGTTGTGCTCAGTAGAAATCCCAGATGTGCAGTTGAGAAGTAGGGGCTCCGAGAAATATGTGAGCTGTGGATGTGGCATTGACCCTAATTCTTGTTGAATTCAAAAGTAGCTCTTTAAGATAGTTCAGCAAGGATGTATTCTGTTTGGGAGTGCCTGCCATCAAAAAGTCCCTCCCTGTGCCTATCAAGGAGATAACATGAGCCCCGCATGCCTGTGTGTATCAGCTGCCCCGTTTCTGATGTCTGGGACTCAGTGTGGCCTCCCAGCCGTCATGCTTCAGGGGTGGAGCACTAGTTTTCTTAAGCTGCACTAACAACTTTCCACAAACTAGGTGGCCGAAAACAATAGAAACCCGTTTTCTCAAAGTTCCAGAGGCTTAAAGTCCAACTTTAAGATGTGGGCAGGGCCTTGCTCCCTCCAATGGCGCTAGGGAAGAACCTTATATGTCTCTTCCTGACTTCTGGTGGCCCCAGCGATCCTTTACCTTACGTGGCTGGTGGCTGCATTGCTCCAGTCTCAGCCTCTATCTTTGCACGGACTTCTCCCCTGTGTGTCCGTGTGTGCTGTTTCTATAAGGACATCACAGTCATTGGGTTTAGGGTTTCCTGTCAACCCGGGATAATTTCATCTCAAGGTTGAAACTAATTACGTATGCAAAGACTCTATTTCCAAATAAGGTTTCCTTTTGAGGTTTCAGGTGGGTGTGACTCTTGTAGGACACTGTCCCACCTGGTACAGGTGGGCAGGAATGTTCCTCTTCATTCCACCCCATCAGCACGTGCCATGCACAAGAGCATTTGAGGCTTTAGAGAAGATCCCAAAGAATGGACAGTGCCCTTGTTAGCACGTGGGCTGACAGGCTTCTTTGGGAAAGAGAGGATAATGAACAGCCCTGCCGGGAACTTTCTGTGCAGCCCCTCTCCCTTTCCCCACCTGTGATGTGCAGGGCTGAGCCCAGCTGACCCCAGCTGTCCTCCCTGCTCCAGTGATCATGGACAGTATTGGGACATGAGCATACACACAGGTGCTGATACCGGGATCAGTATTCACATACTCACTTTACAGATGGGAATGATGGGGCTTGGGGGATACTCTCAAAACCACACAGCTTTTAAGAGGTAGCAGAGGCCGGGCACGGTGGCTCATGACTGTAATCCCAGCACTTTGGGAGGCCAAGGCAGGTGGATCACAAGGTGAGGAGTTCAAGACCAGCCTGGCCAACATAGTGAAACCCCTTCTCTACTAAAAATACAAAAAAATAGCTAGGTGTGTGGTGGCATGTGCCTGTAATCCTAGCTACTTGGGATGCTGAGGCAGGAGAATCGCTTGAACCCAGGTGTCAGAGGTTGCAATGAGCCAAGATTGCACCACTGCACTCCAGCTTGGGCAACAGAGTGACACTTCATCTCAAAAAACTGGTGGCATAATTGGGGTTCAGACCCAGATCTTGCTTCAGATCACTCACTATGTGATTGTGGCAATTCCTTCCCACATCTGGGCCTCGCTGTCTCTCTCTGCGAGTGGACACAGAGAGGACAGGAGCCCAGGAGCCGGATGGCCGCAGGGATTAAGGCCTCTCTGTGGCTGGCACATAGGAGGTCATGTGGCTGGTGGACGGGCATGCCCGGCTCCTGACCTGGCATTCTCCCCTCTAACCGGCTGTCTCTTGTCCCTACAGTGCCCTCGGCTAGCATGACCCGCCTGATGCGGTCCCGCACAGCCTCTGGCTCCAGCGTCACTTCTCTGGATGGCACTCGCAGCCGCTCCCACACCAGCGAGGGCACCCGAAGCCGCTCCCACACCAGTGAGGGCACCCGAAGCCGCTCCCACACCAGCGAGGGGGCCCACCTGGACATCACCCCCAACTCGGGTGCTGCTGGGAACAACACCGGGCCCAAGTCCATGGAGGTCTCCTGCTAGGCGGCCTGCCCAGCCGCTGCCCCGGACTCTGATCTCTGTAGCGGCCCCTTCCTCCCCAGCCCCTTCTCACCCCCTACCTGCCACACTGCACCTAACTTGGTATTAATCCAAAGCTTATTTTGTAAGAGTGAGCTCTGGTGGAGATAAATCGGGTCTATTATGTGGGTGCCCTCTCCAAAGGCGGGGTGTCGGTGGACCTAAGGAAGGAAGCAAGCGTCTCTGCATCTTACTCCATCAACCAGTGGCCGGTTGCCACTCTCCTCCCCTCCCTCAGAGACACCAAACTGCCAAAAACGAGACACGTAGCAGTGCACACTTCACAAAGCCAAGCCTAGGCTGCCTTGAGCATCCTGGTTCAAACAGGTGCCTGGTCAGAAGGCCAGCTGCCCATTCTGGTTTCCTCTCTGAGCAGAAGCTGACCCCATTCCTGGAAACAAAATCCTTTTCCCATTTTTGTGTGTCGGGGGTAATAGTGAAGTGCAGGCACCTCTTTTAAATAGGCAAAACAGGAAGGGGGAAAAGGTGGGATTTATGTTGAGGGTAGAGGCATTTGGAACAATGAATCATTGTATTTAACTTGAAGAAACCGATTTTTAAAGTTGGTGCATCTAGAAAGCTTTGAACGCAGAAGCACACAAGCTTGATTTTTCCAGCATTCTCTTACTGCGCAGCAGAAGCAGTCAGCAGAATCTCCTGGCTTTCAGACAGACATGTTTCAGCAAACGTTGCGTGTCATGGTTTTTGAAGGCTTTAGTTCTGCTTTCTGCCTCTCCTCCACAGCTGCAGCCTCCTGCCCTGTTGAGGGAGGAGATCATTTAGATTTGTTTTGCATTCCTTGGAATGGAGGGAAACATTCCACAAGCTGCCCTGGCTGTGATGAGTATCCTTGCCAGGGCGGGGTAGGAGCGTTGGGGTGGGGGTGGAATTGGGGTTACTCAGTGTAGGGGATTCCTTGTGGTTGTGATGGGATCCAGTGCAGTTGTGATCTCAGCCTGGGTCCAGGAATTTTGTATTAAATCCAGTTCTCAATCTTCGACAGCTGGGCTAGAATGTGAACTCCATAGCTGAATCTTTCTGACCTGGTCACATTCCTGGATCCTCAGAACTCTTTGCTCTTGTGGGGGTGGGGGTGGGGGTGGGAACTCATGGGGAGCGGTGGCTGAGAAAATGTAAGGATTCTGGAATACATATTCCATGGGACTTTCCTTCCCTCTCCTGCCTTCCTCTTTTCCTGCTCCCTAACCTTTCGCTGAATGGGCAGCACCACTGACGTTTCTGGGTGGCCTGCATGGCTGCCAGTCTCCTGTACTACTGCCTTGGTTCACCGTGGATTTTATCATAGGAAGTTTGGTAAGTCAGCCGCCGGGGCCTGAGGATTTCTGGGGCCCTGGAGCTGGGAGAAGGATAGTCCAGCCTTCCAGGGGGCTTGAGAGGCAATGACTCACTATCTGCCGCCTGTCACCTTGGAGGCCTTTCCTGGCATTGCGCAGAAAGGTTGGGGATCGAGCAAGAGAGGCTGAGTATAGATGGGAAATTATTGTGCACAAGTCTTTCCAGAGGAGTTTCTTAATGAGATATTTGTATTTATTTCCAGACCAATAAATTTGTAACTTTGCAGCCGCTGGTGTCTTTTTTTCTCTCCCTGAGAGATTGTGTGTGCGACATTGTAGTGCAGGGATTGGTTTTTCGCTGGGTATTGCCCACTCTGGACAGCTGGGGGCCCCAGCCCCTCACCTCTAGAATTCTTTGCTTTAGAGAAGCACATCCAGCAGAAACAAAGTCAGCTTATACGTTAATTCTAATTTCCTGGTGGCCACATTTTCAAAAGTGGAAAGAAACAGATGAAATTAATTTTAATAATATATTTCATTTATCTCAAGATGTCTAAAATATTACCACTTCTATAAAAACTGAGCAGGTATTTCGCCTTCTTTTTTCATTTTAGGAAATCTAGTATTTCATATAGCGCGTTCAGACCAGCTGCCGTTCAAGTGCCTGATTGCTTGGGCAACATAGTGATAAGGGGATAAACTTTCTTTTCAACCTATAATTCAAGGAAAACAGCTTTTTTTTTTTAACATTTATTTTTATTTGTTGAGGTATAGTCTCACTTTGTTGCCTAGGCTCAAATGCAGTGGCACGATCTTGGCTCACTGCATCCGCCACCTCCCAGGTTCAGTGGTTCTCATGCCACAGCCTCCTGAGTAGATGGGATTACAGGCATGTGCCACCATGCCCAGATAATTTTTTTTAATCTTTTATTAAAAAAAAATTTTTTTTTTTTTTTGAGACAGAGTTTCGCTCTTGTTACCCAGGCTGGAGTGCAATGGCGCGATCTCAGCTCACTGCAACCTCCGCCTCCTGGGTTCGGGCAATTCTCCTGCCTCAGCCTCCTGAGTAGCTGGGATTACAGGCATGCGCCACCGTGCCCAGCTAATTTTTTGTATTTTTAGTAGAGACGGGGTTTCACCATGTTGACCAGGATGGTCTCGATCTCTTGACCTCGTGATCCGCCCGCCTCGGCCTCCCAAAGTGCTGGGATTACAGGCTTGAGCCACCGCGCCCGGCCTAATTTTTTAAAAATCTTTTAGTAGAGATGGGGTTTTGCCGTGGCCAGGCTGGTCTCGAACTCCTGACCTCAAATGATCACCTAGGCCACCCAAAGCGCTGGGATTACAGGCGTAAGCCACCCTACCCAGCCCACATTTTGTTTGTATTACAAAAAATGTCTGGAAAGATCACACCTTTTCTCATGCCCAATGACAACCATCGTAATGCTTATTTTCTACTCTACATTAAAAAAAAATTAGAAGGTTTTAGTGTAACCTCTTATTTAAGATTAGTTTAAAACATGCAGTTGCATAGGTAACACAGAGTTGCCATATAGCCTGCCCTCGGTGACCGCTGTGACTGCTGATACCTGACGCTACTGCATACTTGTCACAATGGAGGGATCAACTGTACGTTGCTGTTAACTAAGCCCCGGACCATATTGAGAATTTACTGGGGTTCCTCTAATGTCTCTCCAGGATCCCGTCCAGAACACCCCATTACATTTTGTGGTCGTGCCTCCTTAGCTTACTCAGACTTGTCACAGTTTCTCAGACTTTCTATTTTTAATAGTGTTGAGAAGCACTGGTCAGGCAGTCGCAGGTCTCACTGAGGTTTGTTTTTTTCTCACGGTACAACGGGGCTATGGGATTTCCGGGGAAGCCCACAGAGGTGGTATGTCCTGCTTCTCACATTATGTCCAGGCCACACACTATCACTGTGGTTTATCCATGCTGATGGGATTAACGATGATGACCTGGCTCGGGTAGTGTTTGCCAGATTTCTCCATCGTCAAGTTACCTTTTCTGCTTTTCCATACTCATTCTTTGGAAGTGTGAATTCCAAAAATTTGAGCCAGGTCTCCATTATTTAGAAAGTTGATTTTACAAAGGTTGAGGAAATGCACCTGTGACGCAGCCAGGAGGTCCTGAGGATATGCGCCCAGGGTGGTCGGGGCATGGCTTGGTTTTATACATTTAGGGAGATGTGAGACATCAGTCCATACAGGTAAGGTTCCATCCAGAAGCAGGGACAACTAGAAGCAGGGAGGGGAATCCCTGGTCCCAGGTAGGTGAGAGACAGATAAATGGTTGCATTCTTTTGAGCTTCTAATAAGCCTTTCCAAAGAAGGCAATCAGAATATGCATCCATCTCAATGAGCCAAGGGATGACTTTGAATAGAATAGGAAGCAGGTTTGCCCTGAGCAATTTCCAACTGGACTTTTCCCTTTCACTTAGTAATTTTGGGGGCCCCAAGATTTTCCTTTTCACAGAAGCAAGTCACTAAGTGCAGCCCACACTCAAGGACATGCCCCCTCTCAAAACAGCTATCATGCTGTTCTCTGTGCTGATTTTTCTTCACTTCCCTTGGAGAGTTTCTTAGTCTGCATCAAACACTTTCGAAGTCTGCACCATCCTGCAGCATGTGGATGCTGCCATAGTTCACAGTCCTGCTGTTTAGAATCTAGACTCGGAAGAAGGAGGGGACGTCACCTCAGCACAGAAGAGCAAGAGGGCATTCCCAGCAGAGGGGCCAGCTCGGGCGCCAGCACTGAGGGTGGACGGTATGCGTCCTTTTTTTCTTTTTTGGTCCCTAGAATTAGCCTAAATCCATTGGCTTACGTATTTATATTGGGCTTCTTAGGCTACATGGAAATCCTTCACTGGTGTCCCACATGGAATCCAAGAGCAGAAAGTGAGGCTTGGCCTTATGGAGTGGGAGACAGGATTGGGGAGGAGTTAGCCTCCTCTTCTAAGATGGAATTTCACTCTTGTTGCACAGGCTGGAGTGCAACGGTGTGATCTTGGCTCACTGCAACCTCTGCCTCCTGGATTCAAGTGATTCTTCTACCTCAGCCTCCAGAGAAGCTGTGATTACAGGCACACACCACCACGCCCAGCTAATTTTTTGTATTTTTAGTAGAGATGAGGTTTCACCATGTAGGTCAGGTTGGTCTCAAACTCCTGACCTCAGATGATCCACCCGACTCGACCTCCCAAAATGCTTGAATTACAGGAGTGAGCCACCGTGCCCAGCCCAGTATGTGTCTTTGTGAGGAACCTGTAGTGTAGACCTGGGCAGATGACATTGTGAGCTGTGCATGGTGGGAGGTGAATCTGGAGTGATGGTCTTAAGAGAGAACGGCTCCCTCGCAGCTCTATCCTGTCCCAGCAGGGGCTGAGAGGAAGGCAGAGTCCTTGGGCTTCTTTGTGCCATGGATGATCCCTTTGATAAGTTAGAGAAGGCTTCAGACCCCTTCTCCAAGGAGTTTTAAATGCATAAAATAAAATACATAAGACTACAAAAGAAACCACTTATAGCGAAGTATAATTATCCGAATGTGACTATTATGTGACCTAGTCACACGTGCTTCTTCAACAGTAATGTTGAGGCAGATCTGAACATCAACATCGCTGCAGTTTCAAAGTCCTGCACTTTGAGCTATCTGCTGCAATTGAAATAAGAGGATTATCTGAGATTACAACTGCTGATACTATTGGGGATTGTTGCCTACATTTAGATAGAAGGAAATGCTAAGTTGCCATTAGTGGTTAAGAAAAACAAAGATGCATTTTTCCCCCCATCCAAGAATAGGGCCCTCTGAATTCTATACACAGATCCTTGGAGGGCCCAGGGACCCAGGTGAAGGAGCCCTGTTTAAGGTCAGGGGAGGGAGGAGCATGTCGGCTCATGAGAATTGCCTTTCCTACTGTGTCCTGTGTGTCCGGAGCAAGATAAAGTAGGTGGTGGAGGAACTAACAAGGAGGCATTACGGCACAGGGGCTGCGCCAGCTTTGGGGAGTCGGTGTGGCACAGTGACCCGCTGTGGTCTGGCTTCCTCAAGGAAGGAACTGTGGCAAGTGTTTACATGTATCAGTGCTATTTAGAGATGTACACCCAAAGGCTGTTTGGCCAGCTGGGGATCTGATTCTGGTCTCCTAGCTGCTCGTTTTGGTTTCAAATCTCCCGACTCAGGTTTCAGCAGCACCGGGGAGGCCAAGTGTGAGTTAAGATTAGCATTTCCAGGTTCCATTCCTGGCCCTTTTCAGCAAAGTTTCCCTTAGAGAGTCATTGGATTGGTCCCTAGAATTAGCTTAAATCCATTGGTTTACGTATTTATATCGGGCTTCTTAGGCTACGTGGAAACCTTTCATGGTGTCCCACATGGAATCCAAGAACAGAAGTTGAGGCTTGTCTTATGGAGTGGGAGATGGGATTGGGGAGGAGTTACCGTCCTCTTTTCTAAGATCAGATCTTTCTGTAACTGTGAAGCATACAATGGTGGCCCTAACCCACAGGCTACCTGACCTTTTGTCTCTTGAACCCAAAACTAATCAGGTTTTTGTGTCTCTTAAGGGGAAGAATCTCATTGGTCCAGCTCTACTCAGGTGTCCACTCCCTGTCTAATCAACTGTGACTGGGCTCACTTTGTTCTGCCCTCTCTCCCCGGCATACATGCAGCAGGTGTCTGAGTAATTGATGTAATTGTGCTCATGAATTAGGCAAATCTGTTGCATGATTAAACCTATTCACAGCCAAGCTCACTGTGGCAGAACATGCCCTTTCTCATCCATACTTTGAGAAGTGTCTGCTGAATGCCCAGCCCTCCCCAGAAAGCAGGTGCCACCTTGCAAAGAGGAGACATTTAGCATTTGTAACACACATCACTGTGGGTGTAGGGATTTTTTTTTCTTTTTCTTTTCTTTTTTTTTTTTTTTTTGAGTTGGAGTCTTGCTCTGTCACTGGGGCTGGAATGTAGCCCCCTCCAACCTCCACCTCCTAGGTTCAAGCGATTCTCCTACTTGCCTCCCAAGTAGCGCACCATCACCCTGGCTAATTTTTTTGTATTTTTGGTAGAGATGGGGTTTTGCCATGTTGGCCAGACTGGTGGGAATTCTTCTGTATCGACAGGGCCATCATAGAGCAAAGTGCACAGTGCACACTTCTTTTAATACTATTTAGTGTCCTTTACATATTCTTTCCTCTTTTTTTTATTTGTGAGGAGTTTTTCTTGCTTCATAGATGAGGAAACCAGGGCTTAGAGAGATTCAATCGCTTGCGCATC